TACTGAATCGTTTCACCGATTTAATAATACTTTCTGACATTCTATTGAAATTTAAGACATGGTTTTTTCAACTCTTTGATGAGCATCGGTTGTTGGTTTCTTTACATTGCCATTCATATCTTCCTAAATAAGAAAGGGGAAGAAGAGAAATATTTATAGTAGTTCTTTGACTTTGACCGGAAAATTTTTGCAAGGACATACGAGAAAATACTTTGAGGCTTACACTTTGCAACAAGTATCTCAAGCGTGTTACAAATTTCCAGGACATGTAGAGCAAATGAAGATATGTAACATTTGCCCCATCGTGGTATCATGTATGCATGCATTATCGGAAGGAAAACAAAATTATTTTTATTGCTGAAAGAATTGTGTAGAAAGCTGGTGCAATTATCACTTGTGTTTCTTCGTAATATAACATGTCTTCAAACATGTTCATATTCATAAAAGGGATCATTTTCGTCTCTTTTATTTGATTTTATGACAAAACTATTACGGATATATATTAACCGATACGGTAATACTTACGATTGCATATACATATGTAGATTCTCCTCTGGGATAGAAACACCCAGATTATTGAACGATTTCGCAATCGAACAGTTTCAATTGGACAGCCATGTTTATTTCCCTGCGGTTTGACCATTTATGGATGGAAAACGGCGGGGAACAATTCCGACTAGTGGATAATGAAAACGAAACTGACGACGTTAGTTGAGGTGTTAATTTGAATGTTTGCGAAATAGTTTATGATTCTGCGCGCTGCATAATGACCTTTATTTGAATTTGTTTCAACGTTCCGAAATGGGTGCGGGATTTCGAAGCTAGGGGTGAAAGATGTATTTCGTCATGAATATCACATTTCAATTAAACCGGGAGAACTATTTCAATCAATGAATAGCATATTTGAATACAGTGTTCACTATGAAATGCGAGTCACTCGTAAATTCGTAAGACACGAAGCGATGCATTTGCAGTTAATGAATTTCGTTCGTAAAACACAATGAAGATGCTCTTTATACAATTGACGATGGTCCGAAGGTACGAATGGTCCGAAGGTCTCCATGGTACGAAGCCTCGCAAACCCATGTTTTGTCATTTCGTTAGTAACATATTGCAGTAAATTAAAATTAAAAAAAAAATTGTTTAACGAGCAGTACCATTTGAGTAATGGTAAAGGATGATTTTGATTACACAATGAGATGCGCGATGTCCTGCCTTGAACTTGCCGCACGATCTCTCAATGACTGTGTCCTTGACGTGCTTGAGTTTGAACCCACTCTAAAACGACTCCGCCCCAACGCAGACATTGCAATTTGCTTCCGATTTGAAGTTTATTTTTATAACGTTTTAGTGGACCCGGCAATGCTTTGCTAATGAAGTGTATTAACTGAATGCAATTCTTGTACAAAATCAGTTCACTGAAGATTAACTATCTATTTTCACTTTAACTACGTATTAAATACAATTATGTATTAACGACACTTTACTACATTACATCGCATTTTAAAGATGAAATATCCGAATACTGTTGAGCACTGCGATCATTTGGTTAAGACTAAGCGAGGCGTGTGGTTCAAAAAGATATCCGTAGATCGCACTTCAAGCAAGGTTCTCTGGAAATGGCGTAGAGCTTCGTTGTAATAACTATGCAAAAACAACGCACTTCATTCGATTCCAAAAAGAAAAGCGTGTGAAAATTTCAGCGTAACCTTGTAAGTTATATTTGGTGTATACACTTCATCTGGTCATTTGTTTTCCAACCAGGATAGCATTTGAAATGGATTTTATAGGTTGTAAAAGAATCATGTTTTCTTCCTTGAGGCTTCACAATTTCTTGTCCCTTTTTAAAATTACATAGAGAATATGAAATTTCGTGTGGTGCTGGCGGCGAGGCTTCGCATGCTCATTTCGGCAGCCATTATCCCGGCGCCAGGGGAGGGGGAGGGGGCGCTGGGCAGCGCGGCACGTCGTCTGCCCGACGCCGTCCCTGGAGGAGGCCCCGTCCGCAATCGGCTCCCCCTCCCCCTCCCCTCTCTTTGCCGCTTCCCTCGAGACGCCTGGCGAGGGGAATGGGAGGGGAGGTTTTTTCCGCGTGCCGCCCTTCTCTCTTGCGACTTCCATCTTATGAGCCTCTCTCTCCAATCCTGTCCTTCCCGATCTCTTGTCGCGCACTCTCCGTCACTGCTGGATCTCCCTCTCAGTTTATTACACCTTTCATGTCCCTCTGTTGTGATTCCCTGTCACCCGTTCCTCGTGCTCTCTCCCTTGTTCAGTCGTCTTTCTTAGCCCCCATGACCTAACTACCACAATTTGTGCTGTTCATGCCCTCGACGGAGGCTTTTAACTTATGCGGGATAACTAATAAAATGGTATACTACATAAAATCTGCTGCGAAATACAAAGCATTTATTTTGGATTTTTCCATATTTTTATAACTGTGATTACAAAGCGCTGAGCATGTTGAAATTTTAAAAAAATGTACTAGTTTGAACTTACTTTTATCACTAAAGGCACATCATTAGGTCACGTACTGTAAATATGAAATCAACCGCAAATTGTCTTGTCTTTTATGGTGACAATGCTGACTCGAAGAATAAAAAATAATGAGTTATAATATTTCGCGTGCGAAGTGTTTTTCTTCTATGCTTTGAAATGTTTCACGTATAACTTCATGTGAGTGCTACTCCACCCGGATTTCAACCCGACCCGAATGCAACCCGATCCCAACCCGAACTTGACACGAAACCGATCCCGCCCAGAGCTTGTCCCGATCCTACTCGACCGGGATTTCACTTAATACCGATGTGAATGTGATGCCCACCCGCGCCTCAGCCAAAGCTCACAAAAAATCTGATACCCACTCTCACTTACCCGAAGCCGATGTAAGCCTGAACCCACCCGGACTTCATGTAACGCCGATCTGAACCTGATGCCCACCTGCACTTTACCCAAAGCCGATCTGAACCCTATGTCCACTAGCACTTCACCCAAACCGATCTGAACCTGATGCCCACCCGCACTTCACCCAAACCGATCTGAACCTGATGCCCACCTGCACTTTACCCAAAGCCGATCTGAACCCTACGTCCACTAGCACTTCACCCAAACCGATCTGAACCTGATGCCTACCCGCACTTCTCTAAAAGCCGAAGTACACCTGACGCCCACCTGCTCTTCAGCCAAAGCCGAAGCGTCCCCAACTCGCCCACCGCTGGCACGCGCTTAGCGTCGGCCCGAGCCGAGCCGAGCGAAGGCGCTGCGAGTGGCGCGTGGCGCAGAAGCGGCGCGCTGGCCGAGTCGACACTCGCTCGCCGAGAGGCGAGCGTCACGCCGCAGGACGCCTAGCGCCGCCAGTGCAACCCCTAGCACGAAGCACCCGGCGCCACAATTCATTTTAGGGATATGATTGCGAAGACTTCCGCTCCTGACGTTTGTGTTTTCTCGGCCAGGGATTGTTACTTCGCGACGTTGGCAAGTTACTACTACCCGAGGTTGGCTTATCTCGAGCACAAACATGTATACAAAACGACTTGCTGATGAACATTTGGACCTACAAACTGTGAAAAAGTTACGTGAGCTACATATACTATAAATAATTGCAGTGTTGTTTTTACTAATTGTGACGCGTGTTCTAAGCAACAAAATGTTTCTTATTAGGTCCTTTGTAGCTGGTTTTGTGTAGTTGTAGTTTAAAAGCTGTTCTAAGTTGAACTTGTGCGTTGAATGGGGTGCATGTGGAGGCACTTCCTTCAAAGGTTCTGTACTAAAATGAAGCTAAACACCGGCTCGTGATGCGGCCTTAACCAGAAGAATCGTCCGGACGCGACGAGATTGAAATTAACGTGAAATTTGTGTCGTGTGGATTGTAACGGCTGGCTCTTGTGTGCAACGTTTTTGGAATACACTTACGTGGTTTAGATTTATATTTATTTAGTGAAAAAAAAAACAGTGTAAACTGTATGTGACGTATGGGGGAGAAGATCATTTGTGCACGTTTTCTCGAGTACTAGAATCCCCTCCCGTCATTTTCACTATAAATAGTTGAAAAATGAGTAAAAGTTTAAAATAAATAGACAAAAATAAATTCGAAAAAAGCGTGAGATTAGCAATACTTTTAAAAAAATAATATATTCATTCTCGAATTATAGAAAACTTATTTGCATCGGTAAATGCATTGCAATTGCAAGTATGATTATTCTGCTTCTCCTTCTATTACAAGCAAAAGGAGAGTTCAAGAAAGCGCATAGTGAAGCAACGTTTGGTATCATGCTATTGCCCGAAAAGGGAAATACCTTAAGCTCGGTTGCTCATTGAGTAATCTTATCAATGGACGTACACCAAGTATGATATTCGTAATCTAATTAGAATATATCTTTCCGTAAAACAACTCTAGAAAGGAGAAAAATGTGACTTCGTTGCAATGAACAATCTTGCAGAAGGGCACCACTCAAACTGCATTATATTGAACGAAGTATCCTATATTGTGATATGCTGTAGGAAATCAAATTTCACCTGTGTCCTTTAACACGACACTCGTTCTGAAATTTTCGAAACTATTTTTATAATCCAGATTAGTTTCATGGAAAAGCAAAATTCCTTTACAAGACTCAGAATTGTAAGGCGTATATTTGGGAGCTGCCTTATGGGGTCCTTTATCATTCATCTCTGATGAATATCTAACTTTTGGTATTTGTCAGATCTGTCTCGTTAAATTTAGCTTGTCTTTTCTACCATATGAATTGTTTATGTAGCCATATTTTTACCATTTTGCAATTTTAATGACATGACGAGTAGTGAAGTATCATCATCAATAATAATTATAAATCTTTTCAAGTATTTCTTACAAATAAACCGAATAATCTCGATTCGCAGAGATAACTGCAGTTATTTAATTCTTACAAGTAAGACCACGATTAAAGATAATTGTATTCAATTTACTGCAATGATGTTTACTTTGTTTCAGCGTCATCGGCCACAGTTATACTCGAAGATAGAAGAACATGGAAACTCTCATCATAAGGAACGTAAAACTCGTATACAAGTTGCATAAAGCACAAGAGTTGCACATCCGGAAGAGAAAGCACAGAGCAGAAAGCGACAGCGATGACGACGACCAGGAAAAGGAAAGCCCTTCCAAGAAGCGAAGCGTGGAGTACGAAGTAGAAACGATAATCGACAGATGCGTTTTCCCTTCGGGCTCCGTGTTTTATCTCGTGAAATGGAAGTACTGGCATTCGAAGTACAACACCTGGGAGCCTGCGGAACATTTAGACTGCGAAGCACGCGTTAAGGAGTACGTGCGTTCCTTAGAGAGCGAAAGATACCCCAGCAAGTGCATCGACGAGTACATGCATCTGATGGTGCAACCCACCAAGGAGAATTTAGAAAACTTCATGCACTGCCTGCTGAAGGAGAGGCGAACCAAAAAATACACCGTCAAGTCGGAAGTGGACATCAAGAAGCTGGCGACGACGTTCCTGAAGTACCCGGAGAAGCGCACCTCGACGCTGCTGGAGAAGCTGAAGCGCAACCTGCTGCTCAAGTATTTCTACGTGCGGCGCGTGCGCCAGCTGACGGCGCTGCGGGAGTGGAAGGAGGAGATGAGCCTGTCCACCAACGACGGCTTGCCCTTGCACGTGGAGAACGACGTGGACCTCGAGGGGCCCCCCGACAACTTCTTCTACGTGAACGAGTACATCCCGGGCCCGGGCGTGCTCATCCCCGACGACCCGCCCGTCGGCTGCAAGTGCAGGACGTGCGACGCGCGCTCCTTGTGCTGCAGCAAGTTGGCCAAGGCGACGTACAGCTTCGCGTACTCGCCCAAGGGCCTGCTGAGCGTGCCGGCGGACACGCCCATCTACGAGTGCAACAAGCGGTGCGGCTGCGGGGCGTCGTGCCACAACCGGGTGGTGCAGAAGGGGCGGCGGGTCAAGCTGAGCATCTTCCGGACGAGCACCGGCTGCGGCTGGGGCGTCAAGGCCCTGCAGGACATCGACAAGGGATCCTTCGTGTGCTGCTACGTCGGGGAGGTCGTCACCAACGAGGAGGCCGAGAGCCGCATGGACAAGTACCAGGACAACACGCACGCCTACCTCTTCGACATGGACTACAACGGCGCCAACCACAAGTACACCGTCGACGGCACCATCTACGGGAACGTGTCCAGGTTCATCAACCACTCGTGCAAGCCCAACCTGACGGTTTGCTTTGTGTGGATCGACTGCTTGGACCCGAGTCTGCCTCTGCTGGCCTTTTTTACGACGCAAGTCATCCGCGCCGGGGAAGAGTTGACCATTGATTACATTGGAGATTCCATCAAGGTGGACACCTCCATTAAAAGAAGCAAACCGTGCAGATGCGGGCATTCTGAATGTAAGAAGTTCATCTTATAATGCATTGCTACAACTTTAGTCAACGTTGATAGACCGTTAGTCCGTCTCTTGCAGTGATGTGATAATAAGACCATAAATGTGTTCTGTATCAAATTAAATAAGAGAGATCAATTATTTTCTTGTTGCGTCTTCACGACGAAAGCTATCCGGCAGGATGGAAGCTTTTCATAGATTATATTGTACATTTAAGTGCATACCTCCATTAAAAGAACTAAGCCGTTCAGATATGGGCATGCTCAATGTAAACAGTTCGTCTTTTAATCAACTGCTGCAATCACGATTAACGTTGATGGTCCATTTTGTCCAGTCCTGCCGATAATGTGATAATTACTATTCAGGTGCCTTTAATGTTTTCTTTATCACAATATGGATTATCAGTGTTAATATTATTGTTGTGTCTTTACGACAAAAGCGTTGAAGGGTTGAAGCTGCCCAATGAAAATATTGGAGATTCAAAGGGGAAACTCTATTAATTGAACCAAATAGATCAGATGCAGCATTGCTGATTGTAAGAGAGGTTCGTCTTCTACTCTTCTGCTGCAACCACAATCAATGGTGACGGGCCGTTTGTCCAGTCCTGCCTATAATGTGATAATGACCCTTCATGTTTTCTGTGAGAATTGCAATATGAAAGATATGAAAGTTGTTTATTTTATTCTTGCACCTTAAAATAAAAATAATTCTAATAATTGAGTATCAATGATAATTTGTTAATTTTCACTATTATTATTCGGGTTTTGACTTGATACATGTTTGTGTGTTTTTTGCTTTTGTAAGTCTCTGGATGATGTGTTTTTGAAGATTAATTTCGAAATGAGTATTTTAACAATGTTTCTTCTATTTTGCGAGGCTCAGTTGTACATTATTTTGTGTAACTAAATGTTAAAGCCTTACCAGTTTCTTTCATTTTGTTCCCCAACTAAACCCGTTTCCTATTCAATATTTTAACTTTGCGCCATATGTGTGTCGTAGAATTGTCGTACTGTTAAGTGACCCTGTACTTTAGATTCGTATAGCCGCGTGTGCGCTTGTGATGGCAACGAGTGATGGGATGAATCAACCGTTCTTTCCCGCAGTTCAATCGAATGAATCGCTGGATCAACTATTATTGGTTCGCCCTTCTCCTGCACACGAATTTACAATGCTAGTGCGTCAATATTTTGTTGTGAGTCACTATAAAGAATTTCTTTTATATTTTTAAAAGTGTATTCCTCCGTAATGGTGTCAGTTCCATGGCATTTCGAAATACTATTTGTCTTTAGGAGTTGCGTTTTGAGTTGCCATCGACTTTTCTCCCGGTTTCAATCATGATTGGTACGGTTCCACCGAATGATTCGGTCGGATTTCCATGTAATTCTTTGATGGCCCGCCTGCCCCATGGTGGCGCTAGTACAAGTAATGAATCGATTTCCACAGAGGGAAACCCGGGTTTCTGCAAAGAGTATTTCGAGCGACTTTCTAAAGTGTTGTATATTAAAGAGTTCATCTTTAAACTACGACTTCAAACTACTTCTTTTATTTAATGTACATTGAGTGCTTATAAACTACAAATAACGGCTGTTATGTAAAAATAACACACTTTAGAAATATTCCATGAGTAATTGTATATCTTGCATGCATTTTACATAAAACATATTATCGATGGATTAAATGTTTCGTTTCGTTGATTTATGAAATGCTAATTACATTATTAATGAATATCCATTTACATAAGATTTTGAAAGAGCCACCGCAATAACTGCGTTCCACCAATCATAGCGCAGATACCGCCACAATATAACGATTCCAACGATTTATTCGATCAGGAAAGCAGTCCTACTACCGGTTTAACCGATTTGATGGGAACCTCCGGTGGCGTCACTCGTGGGTGATGGGACGCCGGCCAGCCACTGCGCCTGATGCCAGCGCTCCTTGCAGGCGCTGCTGAATTGAAGTCTCTTTGACTGCGAGTTTACTCTGTCATGGTCGCTGATAGTCGGCGCAGGGAGCAATTATTTTGAGCTTTCGTGGTCTCATAGAGAAATGTTCTGATTTAACAAATTAGTGGTGCTGAAACAGCATATTTTCACGCAAATTACGCGAAAAGTAGTCAAATTTTCTAAAAGTTGTACGTGACGTTATTTCAAAACCTAGCTTTAAAGACCAAATTACATTGAGGGAAAATTTCTATATCTTTAATATTTTAATTGTAAGAAGACTCCGAAAAAATATTAAACTTTTGCAATTTTCGAAAAATTAGTGTTTTCAACGAATATTAGACCTGCACTATTTCTTAAAAGTCCATCGCTATCCAACAGCAAAATTTATTCAAAAACTATGGGACAATTTTTTTAATATTTTGAAAATATCCCAGGGACTTCATGTAAAGCCCAAAATTAAAATATCGGTTTCAAATTCAAGGGGTCACGACATCAGTCAAATCGATTAGGGAATGTCAATTTTGGAGAAACAGATGAATGGTTTAGCCGCTAGAATTGTTCACGGAGAGGCGTTTTGCCGTCATTCGATTTTCCGGTATCAAGGACCCCAAAAACATGGATTCTGGTTACACCACGTAAAAAGGATTTTTTTCTAAATTTAGCATTTGGATTTTCCACTTTTTCATTACCTGGACCCTATATAAGACTTTTCAGCCGATAATTCGCCGTTTTTTCGCGCAGCATTGATAACTCTCCGTAGCGAGAAATGAAAAAGGAATACTTGATTTGATCACTCTTCTTAACAATTGATGATACATCCGGCGTCAACCAGAAATAACAAGACCTGTTGTCCTTCACTCCAGCCCGCACTGTCTTTGCCTATACGCGGGCTAACGGATATCCGGGATCTGCAGCTGTCAGTTGGTACAGCGTAATCCACTTAGGTTTACAACACTGGTGAGATGGTTGATGAAACATATTTCCTTGAGATGAATTATGACATTAAATCTTTTCCATTCCAAATTGTAAAACCTTGAATTATTATTTGTGTATTAGAGAATGGAACGAAAAATATATAAGTACAGAAATGTTTGTGTTCAAGTGAAAAAGTGGCAAAATATTATCTTCCACAGTATTGTCGTTGTCAGTCTTCTGGTTAATTACGTCAGGTGTAAATAAGTTAATTTATGTGCACCCTTCTGTTATGCGCACAAATTCTCAAAATATCCTAAGCAGTTCTGAGTGAGAAAATTGAGTATATCGCAAATAATACATAAAATGTTATCTAGAAAACTGGCTACTGTAAGGTCTTATATGGTATGACGTCCGGTTGAACCTGTGATGAAAATAATTCTTACTGCGAAACAAAGCGCGTGCGCGTATATCCTCAGAGAGAGAGAGAGAGAGAAGCAGGACCGGCCCGAAAGGTAAGGAGCTTCCTTTTCAAGTGAATAAATTTGAATGACGTCACAAACGAGGAGAGGTGGCTCACGACATCAAGCCATGTGTCTATAGGTCCTCTGATTCGATTGCCGGCGGTGGCAAGATTTTCCACTAGCTAGGTCGACTTCTGTCGCTGTCTGGAGATTTCTAGTGGCTGGCTATGCTGATCGGTAGTTTTTTGTGGTTACTCTAATCATCACCGAGAGAATACCGGAGCAGTATTCTGAAAAATGGACCAAGGACCGCGTACTATCGTTCCTTCTTTCTTGTTCTATACTCCGCCCTTTCTTACACTACACTACCGAACATACCTGGAGATCGGTCGGGATCTTAGAGCTTGTCCCGGCTGGGGCGGAGCAGATATCACTATCCAGCGATAGAAGATCACTAGCTCCCGAGAAAAAAAACGTACAGTACTGGCGTGACTAATGACCTTAGCAGTTGACGTAGCGGGAGTCAATCAAGTCAATCGTATAAAGACACAAAACAAGTGCCGATGGGTCGCCCACATCACCGTTTTGGGCTGCGAGGTTAATATTTTCTTCGGCCCAACCGACCTCTGTGCGATGAGTGGTGGCTGCCCCGGGTCTCTGCTGCGGCGCCGAGGGGCAGCGGGCTCGTAAATTAATTGAGCGCTCTTTGGTGTCTGCCGTGGGAGCCGCCAGGGGCGCTGCGGTCGCTGGCCTCCCCTCTCCTCCGCCCGCTGGCGTCGTGTAGTACCAGCGAGACCAAGGTTGACCTCTGGTCGCAGTAGCCGCTTGGCGCCAGCGTTGCATTTGTGGTGTGGCGCGAAAGGAGACGTCAGAAGAACGCGCTCTCGCGAAATTATTCTAAGAAAGGAGCGTTTTGATAGCTTCTGTTGGCAACAAAACTGCAGATTATGCCCGTGCACTCAATTCGACGATTTGTTCGTTTGCAGTCGTCTCACTTGCACATGGTGTTGGCCCAACCGCTTGCAGTGTCATCGTCCATCATGACTTCAATTTATTTCGAGATGGTACTGTCGAAACGTTTAATGCATGTGACGCCGCCGTCATCGACCTGGCAACCTGAGTTGATGTCTGTTGAATAACTTATAAGGACACGTATGATTCATTAATATATTTCGTTATAATGTATTTTCGTACTACGTTGGACCTTGCGGCACCTACTGTCGATGCCCTCACGACCATAAATGAGATTAAAGGCTGGCGTCTGAAATGTGCTTGCTCCGACAGCCGAAATCATAGCGAGAACTTGGACGCCCCAACTAGAGTATGCCTCATTTTTGTATCGTACTGTAGTCTAAAGTCTTCAGCGACTTTATTCGCGCCTCTTTATTGATCTTTATGTGTATGGTCGTTGGTGTTGGTAGTCGTTCAAGTGCACTCAATACATCATTGCACTCCCCAGCGATAACAAACACCAGCACCATGCGACTTTATTTATATTTGCAAAATCTTTGGCTGCCCGTCCGTTCCTCGTTCCACCACTCAAATGCACAGAAGTCTCTAAACGCTGGTGTGAACCGGTGAAAGTCTATTTCTCCACGTTTGGTTTGCTTCGCGAACGTGCTTGCTTCAGTTACGTACAGCTTTTTTTTTTTCGCACTTAACTTAACCTCGACCTCTTCTAGATCTTATCTCGCCATCGCTCTGT